TTTTTCCTACTTTACCGACTCTAATAACACATTTTTGAGTCTGCAAATGTTTCTGTCACAAATAATGGGACTCAAATAACTCATTTTCTTGTAGTGACAATCAATTTTTGTTTATAAACATTCAATTTATTATCGAACAAAATTCATTCCACCCACCACAATTAAGAAACAATAACATTTAAAAAAGAAAAAGCTTAGGAACAATAATTAATAAATTTCCATTCTTGTAACTTCACTAAATAATCAAACAATAATTAAATTCCATTTAAAAGAAAGATAAAAATATGTAGCCGTAGTGCAGCACAGGGATATTCAAGTCAAATTTAAATTTAGTAACCATGTCTTCTCAAAAGCTATTCAAGTCATATTCATATCTAAAAAAAAAAAAAAAGAAAAGAAAAAAAAAGAGTAAAAATGATGGCACTTGCTTGCTCCTCCAAGTAATTTTCAATTCTTTGTTTCCATGTTGAGACACGAGCAGCCAACTTAGTCTGTTTCTTAGTTTCAGCAATGCTAGCAAGGAGAGCATCCTAAATTAAGGTTAGAAACAAATTAATGCTCCAACAATAATCAAACAAAAGGTAGTAGACAAATTATGCAATATAACAATCAATTTTCATCACATCACATGTTAGAGAAATCTAATCTTACTAGGTGAATGAAGAGAAATGAATGTTTTTAATCTAATCTTTCGTTTCAAAAAATATAAAAAATCCTGTTTAGATCTAAAAGACCTATTGTATTATAGAGAGATGATATGTATGGGACATGAGGATAGTTGAGATAAAGGACTTTCTAACAACAATCTAGTATAATTCTTTATGAAGCTCATTTTCGTAGTTTCACTTTTATACTATCTAACCAAATGTCCATATATACATTAATTGGAAAAAGATGGTCATAAACTATCCAAAACGCATCCTATTGATTGCCATGATTGTAAAACTTATGGCTCTGCCAACCTCACTAGATCAGATTTCAATTTCACTAATAAGTCATTTATAGAAGGTGACGAAAAATAGAGAAATTGATTTGTCTATGTACAGAAGCAAACCTTTAGTAGAACATTTGTAAAAGTCACCAAGTTGACCATTGATGGTGTATGCAGTAGACACATTTGGAGCTGCCCCGGTTCTTGTGGTCGTCCTCACAACATCAATGGGATTTGCATCCCACCATTCACCTAATCATCACCGTCACCACAATCATTTCATGAATCACACAACATCCTTTAATTTTCTAAATGACTTTTGTTAACGAGTGTCTTTAAGAGTACTCGTTAACATAATTTTTTTTTTGTTTTTAAGTTAACGAGTCATCTACTGAGAGATAAATGGTCAGTTCCTAAGACAAGGGCTGTTTCACGCTTGGGCTTGGGGAATGGGTAGGAAGAACCTTCTTTTGGGTGAATAATCAGAGCACCGTAGACTGTGGCTCTCAACCACAAGCTATGGGCATGCCACCACAGTGTCCCTTCCTGGCCTTGAATTGTGAATCGATAAGTGTAGCTCTTTCTAGGTCTAATTGGGCACTGAGTCACAAATTCTGGGCAGTCAGCCCATACTGTTCTCATTTGCCGAACACCATGCCTGAAGAAGAAGAAGAAGGAGAAGAAGAAGAAGAAGAAGAAGAAGAAGAAGAAGAAGAAGAATAGAGTTAGTAAGTAGCATGGTTTTAAATGGTGGTATCAAGACACGTAATAGTATCAGTCACATTGTAATAATATCGAGAGTATCAAACAATGTAGAATTTTATAAAGATCAAAAAGCGTCACTTTAGATTGTTATTCTCAGTTATAGGAATCTTGTCTATTGGGTGCTAACTTCAAGTTGAGGTCATTAATTATAGTGTCGACATGGACTTTATACGTTACGGTGATTCTCTATATCCAAAATTCTTGTTCCCCTATATCCAATACACTTTCAGTCTCGCATTGTGCCTTGTATTTTAAGATTTTCACTATGGCGTACAACTGAAAATGCATTATGTACCTTTGTAGTGTGGAGGAAATCCCTTCACACACTAAAAATTTGTGTGAACTAAACCTTTTTGTAATTAAAGTTGAAAAATCAGAAAAACTTGATTTCACAACAAACCAAGACTAATTTGTATTTCGCGTTAATTTCACTTTTATTCCTCTATAATATCAACATTTTTTTTCTATTTCGTCATTAAATTATTAAATTCTATCTATTTAATCCTTAAAAATTCTAATTATAGCTAATGTGGTCCAATTGGAGACAGTTGCCCAAATCAATAATTGTTAAAGTCTAATTTGATGAACACAAATATCATTTTAAAATTTGAACAAATTAAACCACTCAATCAAACACTTTTTATTTATTTATTATTATTCACTATTTTGAAATGAAGGGGTGGAAAAAGAATATGTATGTTTGGTTATAAGGAATAAGTTGTCTAATATAGTGTAAGTAAGAAGACAGGTAATGTCCAACTTGTAAAATTACGTTTCTATCCATAAGGTTAGGTTTCTACCAATTAAATTATGTGTATTGAAATCAGAAATTTTAATAAATAAATAAATAAAATTGATAGTTTAGGATTAAAATAAAAGAGATTACAATAATTTATGGGATAAAAGTGAAATTGACCCATATATTTCACAATACACCAACAAAATATGCAAAGTAATTTTCTGGTTACATAGTATTTGAAAAATCTAGAAATTCCCTATATGTTGATTTGTGATTATGTATCAATTTTAAGCAGTAAACAACAATCCCAATAAAATAATCAAGACAAATCGACACAATGATTTTACGTGAAAAAACCACAATTGGACACCTCCAATTGTGATAAAAAAATCACGGGCAACAGCCACAAAACAATCCACTAAGAAGATATAAAGGAATTAAACAAGTATACTCTCAATTACCTAGCGAATCCATGCCAGAATTGAACCAACCTCTATGTGTCTCTTCCAACCCCGTCTTCACCTCGGAATTGTCTTGACGATGAGCCACTCCAAAATCCACCAAAGCTTCAGGCTTGAATTCTTCAGAATCCACCGAAGAACAACTCTCTCTTTTATGTAAAATCCTTTGATGTATACTCTTTAAACCATGAGTTGAATACTCAATCAAAACATCAAAGAAAACTAGCAATATATCCCCATATATAAACCCTAGAACCCAAGAAGAAGATCTAGAGAAGTAATCCTAGATTTGGAGCAACTTGCGAATTTATAGAATCTGAAATCGCGAGGTCCGCTCGAGCGTGGGAATTGACACTCGAACGGGGACACTATATGACATCTTCCAAACCTGGATGTATGCTCGAGTGGGGATTTCGACGCTCGAGTGGGAAAACACGGATCACAGTATTTTTGCAGACTCACCAAACTTCTGGAACTCAGCATTCTTCGCTCGAGCGGGGGAATGTCCGCTTTAGCGGACAGGCAACTTTGAATGCATTTTGCATTTTGCTTCGGGGGCGCTACCCCGGACCCGCCAAGGGGCGCAGCCCCCTGGACCCCCGCAAGCTGACCGGGCATCTCGATCCTCGTCATAATCAACAAAATGGCAATCTTGAAAGCATTAACATCACAAACTTCTCTGCAAGACAAAATTCGGGTTGGATTCGTATCTAAACAGTCGTAACCTCACTGAAATAAAAAGTACGAAATTAAGTACAACTGAAAGGAGTTTTGTTCAAACGGGATTGCCAAGAAAAAACCTAACAAGTTATTCTAGGAACACTGAAATCGATCATAGATTTATTACCCAATCAGTCATATACGGATCTAGTATCCTATTTTATAAGTTATTTTGTATGTGTTCTTAACTAATTCATTCAAACATGACAAACATGCTTTCACTAATTTAAAATAACTGTGACTAATGTAATAAATATCAACACTAATATATATCGTGACACATAAGATAGTAAAAATAAATTATCATTGTAGCATTATTATTCTTTTATCACATTTTATCTACCATTGTATGAAATATGAATGAAATTAATATTCCATTAAATTAGAAATATGCTTCCAGCAACAAAAAACAGCACTAAACCATGCATGGAAAGGCATGGAAAACAAAAGAGGTAAGGTTGGTAATTAATCAACAACCAAACTGAGAAACTGAAGAGAGAATAAACTGTATATTAAATGGAATGAATAAATACATGTTGCACAAGTCTTCAATATATAGAAGTAGAAGGAACCAAGAATAGGAATATATAACTATGGTAATTGCCTAATTATAGACACACATAAGAAGCTCTGTCGGAGTAAGGTCAGCTATTTCACTTGTTGTCGCTAGTGAATATTAAGTTTCATCACTTGTCTCAAGGTTGATTTAAATTTGGAATGGAACATCATGTGAAAACCACATATATATAGCATCATAGATATGATGTATTTGTGAGAGGTTGTAACCATATTAGTGTAACCAACAGATAGTTAGAGAGGTTAGAGTTAGTTAAGCGAGTTAGTAAGCTAGTTAAGCATTGTGATTGATGGATCCTGGAAATCTCAGCGTCATGCAGCTGGAGTGCTTTGGGTGTGTTTGGATGGCAAATATCAGCTAGTGAATCAAAAGGCTTTGGTCACTATTTTGGCATCACCCTTGCAAGAGAAGCGAGAGCATGCCTTGAGGCAAACTTTTTTGTTTTTTGATCGGCAAAGAAAAGGCTTTATTGATGATAAACACACACAAAGTATGAAAAGGTTTGTGGATGGATCTTCATCTTGTGCAGCGATTCAAACTCAAGATTCAACTGGAAAGGACATGATTAATCCGGAGGCAATCCATCGACGCTCATCTTCATTAGCAAAAATGTGTTAGAGAATTAAATAAAAAAGTTTATACAAATAATTATGAAAAATTCTTCAAAGTGTTAGATTGTCTGTCTTTTTACATCAACTATTATTTTAAATACAAATTAAAATTAAATTTTAATGATGCAAATCTTTCGACTTTCTCCTTGCTCTTTCCTTTTATCACTACTAGAAAAGTGACTTGTTGCGACTAATTTTTTGCGACTGACTATTTAACGGTCACAAAAAATAATATTTACAACATCTGAGTCTTTCTTTTATTTATTTTGCCCCTTTCTTATTATACCTATGCCCTAACCCCCTTTTCACTTTCACTTTCCCAACGATTCACAAACACATCTCTCTCTCTCTCTCTCTATAAGATTGTGATGAGAAGCAGCAGACAACAATGCCGGAGCTACTAAGGTTTGATGATCACAACCAGTAGAGATCATTCGATTTCGTCATCTTCACCGTCGCATCCAACTTCAGCCTCTTGTTTTCCGCTTCTAGTAGCATCGATCATTGCTCCTTCGCTTCTGATGTTCACAATCACGACTCTTTCGTCTCCCAACTCACTCAGGTTCCTTTTTTTTCATTTCAATTTCATCTATTGGTGACTGCAGTGTTTGTGTAATATGACAAAGTGATTTTCAAATAATTCATTAAATGAAAGGATCACCATCTTGTAAGTGAAGTATCAATTGCACGAAAATGTTTGAGTACCTGGAGACCTATTGAATGGAAACGGTCAGATGTTTTAATCTGATGAATAAAGAGAAAGAAATACTCAATCTTGAGTTCCAAGTTAAATTGCAAATCCTAATTATGAAGACGGAATTGAAAAATAAACGTAGTTGCAAGATTGCAACACTGATGCTGGATTCAAGATGCATGAGACCTTAAAAATAAATAAATAATAATAATAACAAAATAAAGAAAGACATGAATTTAAATGATGAACTGGATTTATAGATTAAGGAATTGCTATGGCATTACTAACTATATTTTACTGCTCACTGAGTTAATTACTGTTCTGTGTTCAGTTAGCTTTTCCTTTGTCTATAATTGTGCTCCTTCCCCAGCTAATGCTGATCTTTTATTCCAGAGTCAAAAAGATATAAGGCTGTTATCATCCGAATTGATAGTCCTGGAGGTGATGCTCTTGCTTCTGATTTGTAAGTAGTGCTGTGTTCTATCATTATGGTAGAAATTTAACAAGTAAAAACACGATATGTACATGTGTTGATGGCATGTATAAGGCTGTTACCATCCAAACCTATTGGAATTTGTTTTACATGTGAATGATTGAGGATCTGAGTATATTCATCTAATTATCATTTTAGATGTCAGTGTTCTTTCTCTATATTTAGTTTTGGATGTCATGTTTATAATTCCATTTACAGATTTATTTATATTCCTCATGCAGAGAATGAAAATTATAGGATTGCAATTGAATTCCTTTAGATTGTGTTTAGATTTTGCCGTTGTTAATTTTTGGTTAAGAGACTCAACATCACCCATGATATGCTAGTATAAGTCAATTCCTCTAGAAACGCAAAAGATCAATGATAGAAGTCCATAGAGAAAAAATAATCACCAAGGCGGAAGACTCCAAAATTTGCTAATCTAAGAGTGTGTACAGAATGAGACATACTAATCAAAGAACACACACTCCAAAATGAGTAATGGCCACAGAAAGTACACACATATTAACATATAATAGATATTCTCATCAATTCCAATATGCACCAAGGACTATACAAAAATTTCAAGATTGCAAAACCATACTAAGAAAATCTTTTTGGTTTTTTTTTTTTTTTTTTTTTTTTTTTTTTTTTTTTTTTTTTTTTTTTTTTCTAAACAAAGCAAGTCAGAAAACGAACATGCATACATTAAATGACTCAAAAAAAAAAAAAAAAAACACACAAATACCCAAAGACTAAAAAAAATACAAATTAACACAAGTCAAGTTTTCGCACCCAAACCGCTTTAGTATGAAGAAAGTTGTGAGAATTGCGGTTTTTGGATGGTGTCTTGACGTTGTGGTTCCCTTTGCTTTCAATGGGAACCTGTCTCGACTTGGTTTCCAACTTCCTATTTCTAGATCTAGGAAAACACAGCCTCTGTTCATGTTTGTTCTCAAGCAAATCAAAATAATGAGGTCTAATATGACCCTTAACCTCATTACCACCAATGAAGTGTCTCCTACCCCACAAGGTATTGGAATTTCTTCCATCTCTATGAGACACTCTCCCATGCAACTTATAACAATAAGGGAGAATATGACCATGCATACCACAATGATGACAAATAAACACAGGGTGTATGGGGTGTACCTTCTTTTCTTTGACCTTACCAACTTTAGGAAGATTGATAAGTCTTTCCTCTCATTGAACCTTGTGCTCCCCTTGCCCTTGAGTTCTTATATCATAAGAAGTAGATGCACTATATTTTTGCTCTTTGTTATCACTAAAGCCAATGCCACTCTTGTCAGAACAAATTTGTTGACACCCAATGATATTATCCAAAGTCTTTGATCATCTGTTCCAAAGACCAATGGTAGCCATAGCACACATGAGTTCTTCCTCTTTCTTGATTATTAGTTCATCCAAAGCAACTTGAGACATTTTGAGAGTTTCAATTTTTTCTTCATATGTTGCATAGATTTGCTGTAGCTCATTCCTCTCTGTCTCACAAGTCAACAGTTTTTCACAAAGAGCTTGTCGATCATTAGTTATCTTGATGGCTTCAGTCCTGGCCTCGGAAATCTCCTCCTTTAGTTTGACATTCTTACTTTCACATGCTTTGAGTTTCATAGTGAGTTTGTCATTCAATTTGGATAACTTAAGAGATTCCTTATACAACTTTTCATAAGCTTGCTCAAGCTCTTCATCATCACTTCCCGACCAGGACACGTGGCACCTCGGCCGACACGTCGACGTCATTTCTTCAACCGGGCTCTTCGGATATCCTGTTCGTCCTTCAGTTCGGAAGCCGCCATGAAAGCAAGGAATTGTTTATGTCCTTCTTCGCCTTGATCTTTCGTTGTCACTTTCATCTTCATCATATTCTGATTCTATCTCCAAGTGGATGGCGAGGGCTTCTTCTTTTCAAACGAGTGGGCATTCTGAAGCAAAGTGGCCAAATCCTTGGCATTTATAGCATTGGACTCTTTCAGAGTTCCCCTTGTTCTTTCTTTCTCCTTCAGGTTATAGAATTAATTTTGAGTTTATCTTTGCCTTTAGATTTATCGAGATGGTAGATTCCAAAAGATTATGATTGTTTTTTCAGAAAATATTTTTTAATTGTTTTAACAAAAGCAGCCGTAATCTTGGAATCTATTCTCACAATCCTCATCAGAATCCTTTCCAACTCTATGAGCACTACTAAAAGCAATAGCATTCTTTTTGTTCTTTTTGAAATTCCTATGTGCTTCATAAGTTTGGAGATTTCCAACGAAGTGATCCAGATTCAGGTTTGCACATCTGGGCCTTCTCAATAGCCGTAACTTAATCTCACCCACACCTCACACCACTTTGGATTTGTATTTTCAACTAAATTGAAACTGGAAATTTACAATGTACCTATTCGCATAAAAATTCATCAAAGGTCCTTCACTCACTTTCATGAAAGGGTGGGTCGAAACTAGACGTGACTTAAGTTTTGAGCGTTTAACAGAAAGGAGTGCCCTCCCATGAATATTTGTAAGATACCCAAACCTCTTTCTGTGACCTTTGTCAAAATTGCAAAATACGACTAAAACTCTTCAGGCCCTCGCCCTTCGCCAAAAGACGAGAATTGACTAGGCTTTACTATTTCCAGCTTACTATTTTGGTTAATCAATTGTTCACGTAACTATAATTGGATTTGGAAGAAGCTTACCTTCATCCCACCGGGTAATTGTTTGGTTTTGTCACTCCATTCATGACAGATGCCAAACTTTTTCATCTATAGATTTAAAAAACATGCTTCACTACACACCAACAGACATAATTGGATCCCGTCAAAGTAGGGTGGTTGAACCATAGAAGTTCCCTTCACGTATTGAATCCATTATCACAAAACAAACAAGATTCCTCCCTCATCCCAAACACCTCTTTTTTTAAAAAAATATTAAATTGATACCAATTGAAAAATCTAGAAATCCCCCTAGAACGTTCATTTGTGAATTATGTATCAATTAGAGGCAGTAAAACAACCAACTCCCAATCAACAATCAAGACAATCGACACCAACAATTTTACGTTGGCCAAAAATCACAATTAACACGCCAATTCCTGATAAAAAAATCACGAGCAACAGCCACCAAAACAATCCACTTAAGAAGATATAAACCCACCCACAGGTATACTCTCAATTACCAGCGAATTCCCTACTCGCCCCGAATGAACCAACCTCTATGTGTTTCTTTACAACCCCGTCTTAGCCTCGGAAGTTGTCTTAACGATGAGCCACTCAACGGAATCCACCAAAGCTTCAGGCTCGAATTCTTCAGAATCCACCGAAGAACAACTCTCTCTTTTATGTAGAACAAACAAATAATCCTTTGATGTATACTCTTTAAACCATGAGTTGAATACTCAATCAAAACATCAAAGAAAACTAGCAAAATATCCCCAGATATAAACCCTAGAACCCAAGAAGAAGATCTGGAGAAGTAATCCTAGATTTGGAGCAACTTGCGAATTTATAGAATCTGAAATCGCGAGGTCCGCTCGAGCGTGGGAATTGACGCTCGAGAGGGGACACTATATGACGTCTTCCAAACCAACATGTATGCTCGAGCGGGGATTTCGACGCTCGAGCGGGAAAACACGGATCACAGTATTTTTGTAGACTCACCAAACTTCTGGAACTCTGCATTCTCCGCTTGAGCGGGGGAATGTCCGCTCGAGCGGACAGGCAACTTTGAATGCATTTTTGCATTTTGCTTCAGGGGCGCTCCCCCTCGACCCCGCGAGCTGACCGGGCAGCTCGACCCCTGTCATAATCAGCAAAGTGACAATCTTGAATGCATTAACATCACAAACTTCTCTGCAAGGCACAATTCGGGTTGGATTCGCATCTAAAAGTTCATAGCCTCACTGAAATAAAAAGTGCGAAAACAAATACAATTGAAAGGAGTTTTGTCAACTGGGATTGCCAATTTTTTGAAAACGAAATCAAAACTGCTATGTACATACCTTAGAGACATGATTGCTGCAGTCAAAGAAACCCCAGAAACAGAATTGAAATTGGGAGCTGAGAGAGGAAGAAATGTGTAGATCCAAAGATGCAAATCTAGTAGGACTGCTTGATCTTAGTGCAATTTGTGCAGGCTATCTCCATGAACTTCTTGAGACACTTGCCTCCAGTAACCATGTATACTATGTCACAACCAACCTGTACAATTAGCTGTTGTGGCAGCACTATCCATGGCCCAAGTTTTGGACCAAAGGCATGTCAGCCGAGGTCATAGTAGTGATCGAAGCGAACCCCGGGAACACATTCATGGAGTTGTACCTGTATCATCTGCCACATAGTGTTCAGGGTGATGCACCATGATAAGACCAGCAACATTGTCCCAGGACCCCTAAGAGAGAGAGAGAGAGAGAGAGAGAGAGAGAGAGAGTTAAAATGACAAGAAAACAGAGATGGCAACTCAGTGAAGTCCTTGGAAGGTCATGCCAATACAAGACTAGTAATACCAGGACCAGCAATTCTGAAGTTGAACCCATAATGTTCTTGGTCTTTTTCTTAGACTGAGTTCTTTATCCCTAACATTACTGATACAATACTGATTTTAAGTGTAGGAAGGAGCCGAGTCAAGTGATAAAGTTGTTTAAATTTGATTTGAAAACTAAACTAGTTTTAAAAATCTATCCAATTTTGATTTATTTATTTATTCATTTATTAAGTCGATCTAAAGCTAGTTTTAGTTGAGTCAATCACAAGTTAAAACTCTAGTAATTTGGTTTTTATATAGTTTTACGGTGCATGTAGACTCATCAAGCCAAGTTTGAGTCATGCTCATAAAATTAACATGTTCCAAAATGCTTTTCAGCTCAATTTGTTTATATAACAAATCGAACTCAAATAAATTTTTAACAAGGAGAACATAATTGAGCTCAAGTATTTTAGTTCATTTTACAAACCAACCTATGATGTTTGAACAACTTTCTTTGCAAACTTAAACACTTTCAACTGCATAACAAAAACAGAGAGAGAGAGAGAGAGAGAGAGAGAGTACTAATTTAAGTTACAATCAAAATTACATTGTATAATAATTATTAGGTTGACATTATCCAACTTTTTTATTTGGTAAGTATGAGTTCAGCTTGATTATATTGCATCAGTCATATAAGTGACATAGATTGAGATCATCCATGTTTTACATGACCTAGTCAAGAAATTGCATTTTTGAAATTTTTGTGACCGTTTGGCAATGGAATGTATTTTTTCATT